AGCTACTACATAGCGACTAATCGCAACCAAATTCAAGATTCTGGTGAGATGAGTGGAAGATCTCGATGAGTAGATAATCCTTAGGATCTTCACAAGAAACGGTAAAGTTTAAATGAAAACATGAGGGGTGGTCTACACTAATTTCACCTGAACTGTTAGGAGAAGACGCGTGAATAAATACAAACGGGAAAAGCCTGGTAGTAATCTTACAATTGCTTCTCATCCCTTCTTGGCAGATTAGAAGATGTCCGGAAAGACAAGATTAGATTGGATTCATGCGATTTGCTTGTAATGTGTAGTGCACGAACTTCTTTTTGAAAGAAAGAAAAGATTGCAACACGTGTGCACTCAGAAAATGATTACTGCGTCCTACTAACGTATGAGTCCCCACAAAAAATCTATGCATTACTCAAATAGTGGAGCAAAAAAAAAATAAATGCAAAAAACAGTGCCAATAATCAAATGTACTACAAATGAATCAGAGAAGAAAAAAAATTAATAAATTAACATGTGAAAATAGAACTGAAAGTAAAACAGATGCGTGCAGTCAAATTACTTACCATACATCTCGTAATTGGATCTTGTCAGTACCCGTCCAGGATTCGTAGTTGGATCGATGCGAAGTTGACACACAACACACTTGCTATCTTGAGAAGCACTCGCTTAAATATAAAAATATTGCGTGCACCCATTTGTCTTTAATATCTTGAAGTGCAAAAAAATGCTACGCATCAGCGACAGAAGATTCCAATTTGAATTTTATAAATAACTTTTTTTTCCAGCTTTCATGAACGATCGGTAAAGACATACATTGAGCTTCCGTTAGAGCATCTTGTGGCACCAACTGGTACATCGCTAATTCCTCCGCAGTTGGCATCGTAGGCGGCTAGAAATGTTTAGCTGTGGAATCTCGAAGAAGCAATTATTCAAAAGCAAGAATTGATACGTGGAGAATTACTGTACAGCGGCCGGATGAAAATGAGTAAAAGGTAGCCTACCAATTATAAAGACTGACTAACCTTGTACGTCTTTGCAAGCTTCCTTTTTCTTTTCGGAATGACAGCTTTGAAGTTCTCTCTCTTCTTGCATAAGTAGTAATATAAAACACAGTCCTTCACAGTCTAAATGGAAAGAAAAATAAAATAGATTAAAATGTGGAAAAAAAGACGAAGTGGGAGGCATAAAAAAGCTTACTTTGTTTTCAAGAAACATGGCTATGTTGGCGTAGTTCTTACCCACGGCAGACAACCTTTCTCGAAATAACTTCTTTTCATCATCCGACCACGAAGAAAGAAAAGTTTCAATCCTGTAACGAGAACCCACTTGTAAAAGACTTTGCTTTAATATCAAGCACTGTAAGAACAGATGTCAAATCACGAACCAATTTTTATTCTCCGCAGCCGCATTCTTAATAATCGCATGCTTGTTATCGAAAAATCTCGGTCTAATCGGTGATTCGTTTACAATTAGGGGTGGAATAGCTGCGGCATTCCTCATTTTATACTCTTCATCCACCTGTCCCTAAAAAATCATGAGCTGCCAAGTGTAACAAAACGGCGGGCTAAATGAGCCTCAAAAATCACCTTTTCACTTGGGGCAGGCTGTTCGTCCACACCATCTTGACCACGTAAGCTTATTCGATCGGTTCGGCAGGAGCGCTCTTTTTCTTCCCGAGATCTTTTCATTTCAGGAAAGGCTCTTTCGAATATTTCTCGATTCTTCAAATCACGAGCACTAAAAATTTTTCAAATCAGTACTCAACTGCACTTAAAGTATACTGAGAAAGCACATACACTTTCTTGGGGCTATTTTCCCACCGCTCTAGCTTTCGTAGATAATCCCTCATACATGAGTTATAAGTTTCATCATTATACCTGAAAATTTTCAACATAAATGTTTCACTGAATGAGTGATTCCCAAAAATCATTTCCTTGTGCATTTATGCTAGCTGTATAAATCACAGCCTATTTGCACGCACGAGAAGGAAAACGAGTACCAGGTGAACAATAAAACCAACAGAAAATGTCAATGCAAGAATGTTTGAGAAATGAGCAAATCAAACGCTTCAAAAGGTACGTAAAAAGGATTGAGCTCTAAAAAAGAATAGAAGCTCACCTATAGCATTCAAGTTTCACTCGCTGTCGCAAAATAATCGTCTGTCTCAACTTTGGCTCGAATACCTGGAACAACAGCCATACAAGGATGATACTGAGAGAAATGAAAGACATACCTTCTGTCTTTTCAACAGTTCGATCATTCCAGGAGCATTACACGGCTCATAAAAGCACTAAAAAATGAAATTAAATTATTCAATAGGAGGGAAACGAGGTCAAGAACACAAAGGACAACAGAAAAAAGCACCTACCGCTTCTTGTGCTGATCTTTTGACTACCAAGCGTGTTTTTATGGGAGACTTTCGTTTATTTTCTGCGATTATCCTTTGCCAGAGTGGAACATTATCCCTTTCGTCGACCTAAAGCCCCATCAATTCATAATGATAAACGAGATTCATAAACATTATTACCTCTCCATTGACCGTCTCCTTCACTTCTTGCTCCGACTCCTTCTTTACATTCTGTATCGATAACAGTTAGAAAATCGAGAAACATAAAGAAACCGTATTACAACCTTAAGACGTTCTCTCCGTTTGGTAAGAGCCTCAACTTGTTGATCTGCTTGTTTTCGGTCTTTCTCGATGGATTCCAAGCGATCCGAGGTGGCTTTCTTCTCCGCCTGCTAAAGTTTAGTTTATTTTACATCGAGAGACAATCAATGTAAAATGATTTCTGAACACACAGGCTTTGGCTCAAAAACATGCCAGTTAAAACGCACAAATATCATTAGCTGAAAATAAAGCGAATTATAATATTAACGTGAAGAAACTTTGACACGACTAGAAGGAAGAATTCGCAATGAGGATCAACCAGATAAAACGCCCGAAAGACAACGTGAGAAGCAGTGGCTACAGCTTGCAGGAAAAAAAAAACATGCCAGCCGTTTTTTTCAAAACCGGATCCGTTTTCGTGTCTGTAATAAACGTCAAACTCAAACTGTTAGTACAAGCAATCTTAGCAAGTAAAATGTATCCCTTTTACTAACAACTACAAGCTGCGTCGAATATTGAATTGTTCCGAATTCTACGAATTGAAACTTAAGTCCTACAAATTTTAATTCTCTTCTCATTGCCCAATTGATGATGAAGGGAGGGCGCCAAAGCTGTGAAGATAGGAAAGGATCGACTCTTCATCCGACTTGCTTAGAAATAACTTACGATGGTGCAATTCATTACTACAAAAAAGTGGAACTAAGCAGTAAACTATGCCTGTGCTAATTACATCAGCTGCGTTTGCAACTATTTTATTCGAATAATCCCACTTTTCCATCACTTGAACCTATTGGAAAAGTAGAACCAAATTTACCCCCGTGATATATGCAGAAATGCTGGCTTACTTTTTGTAGTCACATGAATAAGCGACATTCGTGGTTTAACATTATGACAAAAAGCAACACATTCCAGCGCACGTTTTTCCTATGAGTAACATTCTTATCTTTTAAGAGTGATCATGGAGAGTTTACGATTCTACCAATGTCAGACAAAAGTATTAATAATTGGACAGAGTTAGTCAAAAAAAAANAAAAAAAAAGTATGAACGTTTGACGTGGTTCCTTCAAAATGAATCACGTTTGGTTATGGGATATAAATAAAAGAAGAGATTTTGTAAATTAAAGTTATAAAACAAAGGATAAAATGAAACAGTCAGCCAAATACTGAAATTCGTACTCGAAACCTGCCATGGGAATTTTTTAAAGGAATGGTTGTATAGAATGCTTCACAAATTCCAATAATTTATAATTAAACTCAAAAATAGCAACCTATAATGCCAGATGGTGTCTGAGTGGTCGTAATTCTACATGGTCTCAATCAACCATGTAACTTCTATCGCACAATCAAAAAAAAAAACGAACGCTTGCTGCTAACCCATTTTAGGACTATCGATTTCTTATTCAACGGTTATTGCCTTGTGCCAAAGCAAAGTTCAAGGGTAATGATATCATTCAATACGCGAAAGGCCGATAGCACGTATTCAGTAAGCACAGTAAGTAATGAAAGGCAAAACAGCAACATGATAGAAAACTACTTTTGAAGCGAGGGCATTGCGTTAAAATTAGATCACTCTTAACAGAATGATGAAGCACTAATGCCGCCACTCGATATTTAAAAACAAATTCAATGATATGCATCACTAGTGGGATCCTAGCATAAATAACGGAATTGCCAATCCGCGATACGATTTTACATTTATGGGTTTCGATAACATTCCAGTTTTGATTTATTCCAATTAAATTTCCTTCCCTGGCGAGCTCTTTCAATCCCATAATCACCTTATACATTTTTTGAATCTTTCCTATCACTTTATCTATACTCACTAATTCTTGAAAAGCCCCTTTGAAATACTATCTCCAAAATCATAGCCAAAACTATGAAAAAGCTGAATGAGTAGTAGTAATAGTTGTTAATAAGTCATCAATAAAAAATGAAATAAATCGCAAAAAAATTCCGGAAGGTATCATCTGAATGTGCAATTCCATACGCTGAAGCGAGCAGCAACATTATAATTCATCAAAATCAAAATTTCGTTTAGCCTTAGTGTAGGCTATTCAGCACCAGAAAAGTCTAGTTCAAAGCAGCTGGCTACTGGCAAAACGGAAACGAGTACTTCCTATGCGGCAGCCGTTACAGTTCAAACGATCAAGCACATAATCACGACCTCTTCGATCTCTCTATCTGATAGGGCTGTCGATCCGCCAGGAGAGGGATCGATTTTAATTCCAGCAAAATTCCCACTTGTATCCACATCAAGATGATTGACTTCGTCTAAATAATTGAAATTGGAGGCAGCCACAATCGGACCGCTAAAATCTGATCGATTCAATCAATACTAACCTCTGCTGGTCCCTTGCTGATGGCTCAGGTGGGGAGGGAAGAAATTTGACATCAGGGAAGGGCGTCGGTGGAAATCGTCGCGAATGGGCTGAACACACGGCCAATTTCTATGCGCTTTCGTCAGAACCACTTATAAATGCAAAAACTAATGCCGAGAGCACTGTTGTACGACCTGATTGTGGAATTCAACGAAAGTATAATTTCGAAGGAATAATTTCTTCAAGGCCTACTCTCTCATATGTTCGATGAAATCACAAAAAAAATCAAAAACCTGATTTGATTGTTCAGCGTGTGTTTCCTGATGCGGGACGGTCTTAAAAAAGGAATATTAAACGCTAAAGATCAGAATTATTCGTAAATGGTGAGATTTTCTTCAGCTTCTAGTCATTAGTTCCCTACCTGACGACTGATTCCTTGCTGCAGTAACGAAGTAGAAGGTGAATGTTGTTGAGCAGCCAATTGTGCAGCGTGAACAGACGGCTGAAACAACTTAGTAAAACAATTGTACTAGTAATATAGTACAGTGCTAGCTAGCTGCTAACGCATACGCCACTTGATGTTCCTAGAAAAATAAAGAAACTCAGGTCATGACTCACCTGACCCAACGAAGCTATGAACTGGTTGGTTGGCTGGTGGGAATGTGAGTTTTGGGCGGTTAAACTGGCAAAAGCTCTGAAAGCAATGGTTCATTCCGTTTCATTTATGATAACACAGAAAACAAAACATTATGATAAGCGAGCATTTCTACCGCAGTACCTGAATAAGTCAAGACCAGGACGAGGTTGAGGTGCTGCCGTTTCCTGGGCCATAGTTTGAGAGCTTCCACCTCCGGTGGGAAACATTCTGGGGGGTTGAAGGTGAGCAAGGGGCCGTTACCTTCCAGTGTTGTTCAACTGATCGAAAACACGGTATAAGACAAAAGTAAACGATAAGCTTACACAATCGATCAGATAAGATTAGAAAATCCCATAGAGTGATTTTTAGAAGATAATTAATAATGCTAAGTGATGAAAATGAATAGAATACAATGAAATTCAACAGCAGCTTAAAATGTGTTATTAAATTAGGGTTACAAGAGAATTATTAAAATATATTGGACACTGGCCAACATATTTTAATGTTTTTTTATGTTCTAATTGAAGGAAATCGGATAGCCTTCGCAGAGCTCAATATTTCACTGCTTGGACATAACCAACCTCTAAATAACAACAGTATTTAGTGTAACCAGGTCCCTGTCAGAAATAGTCCGCGAGCAGGGCGCAGAGTTCCTTTTCAACGTGCGCGCAGACGCCGTCGACAGAAAATTGTTACTGGAGCGCGTTTGTTGGCTACTTTTTAGCGCTATTTTGCGACACCGCAGAAAAGAAGAGCAGCAAAAGTCCGTGTTATAGTGTAGTTTTGAATCCATTCTGGTCGAAGATATATTACATGTCGAAGAGATCCATTTGCGCTGCAAACGGCGTTTAACGTCCCATACAGTTTCTTTTTGATCCGGTGATGTCAGGGGACCATAAAATGCTGGGGGAGCCTCCGATTCCGACATATATGCCCTTCAGAAACCACTAAATCAATCGCTAACTGCATCTCGCCGCACTTTTTTCCCCTTGTGTACGTCCCGTCTCGTCCCGCAGCAGCATTTTGCGCTGGCATTCCGCCAAGTAAAAAAGTGTTTTCGTGACGTCATTTCGAAGTGTGCGCGCGGTTGCGTTGCGGCGCCACTTGGTTGTGTCTGTGTCACGTGGGAATGTGTTTATTTCTGATTATCAGCAAGTTTCATAGGTTTACAACGGCAGGTTAGAGTCTATTCCTTGGCACACTGGTGTACACATAGCAAGGATTCATCCATGTCGGCAGGGCTGCAGTCAAAAGTGTCGAGTGAAGATTTGGGAAGTAAGTCAAGAAAAAGAACCTGTTCTGTGTAAATTATATTTTGAATAGGTCCTAGTTAGGGTCGTCGCCGCTTTCTACCTTTTTATGTGACATGAGCAAGGTGACCGGTGTTGGTGAAGTCGAATTTTTTCCCTTCCAGGAGTTATGGGAATATGCCGGTTTCTGAACCTTACTTTCACTGAAGAACAACTTTTAGCGATTATTGAAGTGAGTTTGGCTATTTTTATGGCTATTACTTCACTATATTTACATTTTTCAATTAGAATCGTAGATTGTGAGTTTATGTTTGTAAGATTGATTGCAGCGTGCTTGCTGCATTTCTGAATGATGGTTTTACAAGTTGCATCTTTGGAGAGCTTCTATTCAAGTGAATAAACACCCGAACAGCTCTAAGATCTGTTCTGATGGCAGCATATCCCTATTTAAGGCTCACTATAAGGAGAGTGTGCAAGATGACACTTAAGAACTAAAGTGTAGGAGTTCAAAATTGGCTCTTTGAAATCAAGCAGCTAATGTAGGCTTAATGGACCCCGATGGAACATTCTCTCATTTCTGTATATACCTATTGCTTACTATTTCCTTTCATTCCCTAGTAAACGACACCCATTTGACTTCCAAGTAGTGTTCGATAAGGTGATTTCGATTTCAAAGCTTCAAGTGTTAATGCTTATTATAAGGACCACTTTTCTTTGTTTGTTGTTCTTCATTCATCTGTCCATCAACAAAGTAGTTATTATAACAGCAGAGCTGCCACTGAGCTCTGATCGTAAGCTGATCTGGGTTAATGTGGAACTTATTAGAGGTGTGTAACGTAAAAAAAGTTGAAGCCGGGCTGTCACTTGTCAAGTGCGAGGGAAAATCTCAGATATTCTGACGAGATAAAGATGAAGCTTTCTTCTTCAGACTAGTATAAACCTTTCTTCTTCTTTCCTTCTTCCCATTTGCGTTTAAGGGATACACGAGTTGCAATGGACAAAGCTTCGGCGTTAATCATTCTCGACTTGGGTGCGCACGCATTTGTCTTCTTTTTGGAATCGATGTCAGTTTCGTGGGAGCCCACTTTTTAGCGATGTTTCAGGGAACCTTAGCAACGACCTGGTTCTCGGATTGAGGAATTAATATGCTCTTTCACCTCTAAACAATGAACAATTCTTATTTTTTCAAGCAGATAAATTCAATATATAGAAAGACTGGAAGTGCTGCTTTGACTTTTACACATTTCTTTTCGTGCATTTTCCGTCTTTCGATGATGGCGTTATTTCGTTTTTGTTCTAATTGCCATACAACCGAAGGTGGTGTTCAGTATAAGTGGCAACCGCCCTACCTGCAGAATAGGCTTTCTTTCTGGATATTCATTGTAAATTAAAATAAATCAGTAGTTTTGTAGGTCATTGAAGCGGGAGCGAATCCATCTGCGTTGGTTGACTGGTTAGCGATAGTAGAGGAAACAAAATCAGAAGAAACGCCTGTCCTGAAGTCTCACGAGCGATAGCTCAACCTTAATAAATTGTTTTTTGTTTTGTAAAAACCTCTAGGATTATGGTAATTTATTGTGATTTCATCTTAAATAACAGGTGCCAGTTTGCTTAAAAAGCGTACATCATTTGTATAAACGTTTGTTAATAAATGATATTTCAACTTGGAAGCAAGTATGTGAATCATGGGTTGTTATTCCCATTTTTGCTGAATTCGATATTGCACACGTATCAGCGTTCAATCTAGCTGGCGTGGGCTGAAAGGAACAGCAAATGCTGTCCAAGATCTCAGATTGGGAGAAAGCAAATCCATAGCAAGCTACTGACCAGAAAGCTGCTGGTATAAAGTGAAAAACTGGATGAAGTTAGAGTAGCCTCGTTATTACTGAGCTCAATGCCGCGTCCCTCCCTCATAATTCCACAATATTCAGAATAATGGGTTACACAATGGTGTGAATAGATTTCAAAATATTTCGCAGTGCTTTTTTCTCGGGCGAAATTTGTGAATATTCCATCGTAATCACTCTTTGATGATACTGGAGGACACCATAGAAGGTGTTGCAATCCGGTAAAAGCTGCTCAAACCTTTTCTTTCGTTTCTTTATCCTATATTTCTTCTTTTCCCCTTATGCATATTTATTCTTTTTGAATGGATTTGAGCAGCTGAAACAACGGGAAGTGTCGACAGAATAATTGGAAAACATTTAGTTAAGGAAAGGGCCATTTAAGAATGTTTTTCGCTTGAAGAACAACAAGTTCGATGTTAGTGAGGAGCTCACGTGCATTCCCACAGCTTTTTGGGTAACCAGGAAAGGTATGCGACAGTTTTGCCGTAAAACGCAGACGAGGTTAATGGCTGAAACGGTGTTCTCAAGTCCCGAAACCATTACTCAGCCATTGAGATGAGATGGCCCAGAAAAGAGTCCAAAACTTTGGTACTTAGGTAAGAACCGATATAAAAATTTAATGGAAGATTGTCTAGGGAGATTATTGAACAGTTTACTACAATACTCTTTTTTGCGGTTTTTTGTTCGGTTTCTTATGGCTCATAAAAGTTCAAAGCAGAACGAAATCACCAGCTAGTTTCCCAACAGGCTGCGTTTTTAAAACTCGTTTTTTTTTCAAGGGAACCTGCACAGCAAACGGGGCCAAGAGGTTAATATTCCTCGAACAACTAATGTAGAGCATCGGCTAGAATAAGATCTTAACGGAAAAGATCAATGAAGAAACCCTTAAAGTCATCGGGTTGAGACATAATCCAGCTTCTCTTTGCGTACTCAAAAAACCTAGGACTTAAACATATCCAGTACCGATGATTTCATCGTTCATCATTCAGCTTCCTAATGTCATTCTTCGCTCGTTTGCGGGAGCTCGATGCTTACACCAAGCCCATGGAAGATTTTAGGGTTAAAACGTTTAGTGGTGGAATGGGTGAGATTTAGAATCAAGATAGTACTCCAATTTGATATTTGCCATTTTTAGTTACGATTAGATTTGCGTTTTCAGTTTCGTTAGTCTCCTCTATTGTGATCGCGTTATTAGCAATACAAGAAACTCACCACTACCTTGCCGGCGATGTCGTGGAGCAACTGTTCGTCGATACTACGTCGTCCGACACTCGTTTAGACGTTCACTTTGATATCTCATTCCCATATTTGCCATGCCCATGTAAGTTAGCGAATATTGCGTTCTAATTCTTCATGTTTCTTGGACGAGGCGTGAATAAGAATCGGGAGAAGTCTCGTGAATAAGTATTTCTCAAGTCTATTTTGATCCCTACTTTGTCTGGATGGTGAAAGAACAAAGAAACCAAATTTAGTCCATTTTTNTTTTTCCAACTTTGCCCTTAACATAATATGGGTGTCATTCTAGCTCTTTGAGAGACTGTGATTTGGCTGCATCATCCGTATTTGACGTTGTCTCTAACTACAAATTTTAGACATCTTTTTTCAAGTTTTACGTGCTCTATGCCACTGTTTTTCAAAACTAATCAACTTTTTTGCTCCTCAGTTTTCCAGTGGTTCTCACGAAAACTCGTTTAGTCATTTCTGTCGATGTAATGGATGTAACCGGCGAGAACCAGGATAAAATACAGGATGATGTTTTCAAACTTCGTTTGGACAAAAATGGCAGAAACATTTCTGATCAGGTGCAGAAAATCGGTTGGTCTGTTTCATAATTTCATGAATAAAAATCGCGATCGCTTGACCTCCTAGTCGACTATTTCGTAGCGATTCTATTATACTTTGAAGTATAAAGAAACGAGCACCACATTTGTATTCTCAGTAGGTAAGCGGTACACGGCTATGAACTATTCCTACGAGAGAATGGAAACTGTAAGCAATAGTTTCATACCCTAATGTGCTAGTAATCTGAATGGAGAATTCCATGTGCTGGTGCTCTTTTGGTATAGCTGAAGTAAGCATATCGTTGCAGAGGTTAATCAAAATAAGACCGTTGATTCACCAGAAATCTCTACTCTAAAATGTGGTAGCTGCTATGGCGCTCTTCCTGAAGGAACGTAAGTCGTTTGTCTGACAGTTCCTGTCCTACATAGCCTTTTCACATTTTTNTTTTTAGCTGCTGTAACACTTGCGAAGAGTTGAAGGAAGCCTATCGATTAAGAGGTTGGCAAGTGAACATCGACGAAGTTGAGCAGTGTAAGGTGCTGTCAGTTAGAGTAATTCTGCAATCTTCAAGCATTTTATGAGCTTATCACTAGGGTGATCCATGGGTGAAGATGTTGGAGCAATACAAAGATGAAGGCTGTCGAGTTTATGGAAAACTTCAAGTTGCAAAAGTTGCAGGGAACTTCCATCTCGCGCCAGGAGATCCTCATCGTATGATGCGAGCCCATGGTAATTTTACTTGATTTTGCATCCTCCTGTTTTCGTTGCTGCGATCCACGTTTTTTGGAATAGTCGTAAAAATTGAAAATGTTTTCTATTCGAGTCGATATCGACAGGAATCAATAACTTTTTTTTTGTTTTCAGTGCACGATTTCCATGATGTGGAATTGAGTCATTTCGATACTGCTCATCGGATAAATCATCTATCGTTTGGAAATGAGTTTCCAGGAAAAAAACATCCTCTCGACGGAAAAGATTTCACTGCTGACAAAGGTATCTACTTTAGAATACTAGAACGTCTCGTTTAGTTTCATTTGTATCTTTTTCTGATTCTTACGATCTTAAGTATGCATTTTATTGGAACGTTGGGTGACAACTGGTTAGCATGAAATATCAGTTGTGGTGAATGGTTACTAATTTTAGAACAGTAATCTCTTCCAGCGACTGATAAGGATACCTAAACAGTTTCTGCAAAGCACGATTCTCACGTGATTTGCTTCCAATGCTGTTGATGTCCAATGCTGTTGATGACTGGTTGACTGAGGCCACATTCATATTTGATTTTTCAACTTTTAGGTGTCATAATGCATAACTACTATGTGAAAGTTGTGCCAACAAGCTACACACACATGGATGGCCGTGTGGAAAGTAGCCACCAGTTTTCGGTGACAACACATCGAAAAAATATTTTATTAGGTACTTACTTCAAAGCTTTAATTGAAGTTTTTTTACAGATTATTTGAATGTAGCCTCTAGGTGTCCTCTGAAAAGGAAAAGTTATGAGGAAAATATCTCCTTTTCATTAAAAAGTTTGCTAAGATTTTTCTTCGACTAGGGCCTCCAGTTTGACATTTTTTTAAACAAGGGTTGGGTAAAAACTCGCTCATAATTTGAAATTTTCTCCTTCTGGAATATTTGAAGTTATAGGCAGCAGCTAACGATATATCGACATTCAAAAATGAGGGGGTAATTTAGGTTCAAGTGGAATTCCTGGTTTTGTCGTACAGTATGAATTCAGTCCGCTTATGGTCCGGTACGAAGAAAGGCGACAGTATGTTTACTGGTAACGATCTCCCCAATTGTTTATTTTCTAAAACGAATCACGCTTTCCAGGCATTTGATTACGTTTTTGGTGTCGCTATGTGCCATTATTGGAGGTGTATTTACGGTCGCTCAGTTAATCGACTCTGTGATTTATCATTCTTCACGAGTCCTTGAGAGAAAACTCACTTTAAATAAGCTTGGTTGAATTTATTTCTGTTTCGGGGGCAGGTCTTTCAGATTATACCTTTTTTGATATTTATTCCTTGCAAATGGGTNTTTTTTTTTGTTAGAGTGCCTCTCATTAGGTTGGTCAGGAGGTGCCGCTGCAAGCGCCGCGTTAAAACTAGGTGATGACGGGTCATATCAGTGGCTCCTTGAGAGCATGCTACTCTTCGAATTTGGAAAGAGTGAACTACATTGCACAAGAGAGGGTTTTATATGACGAAACCTTCCGTCGAAGAAAACCATTTTATCTATCAGTTAGAGAATGTCAGAGAATGGTGCATATATAGGACCGCGTAGGGGTCAATCGACACGTGTAATGACCTAGTTCGAACGCGGTGGCCATGTGGCGCCTAGTGGCCTTCATCCCCTTTCTTCTAGGCATACTATTGTTAACTGGGACAGTTGTTGTTAAACTCCCGTCTGTGATCTAATAATTGTTTATGAGGACACATCCTCTATGTACAGATTTTGCTTCTTTGGTTCATAAGATGTGTTTTCGTTGATAAATTCTATGAATAAAAATGAATTTGAAGTGGAAGCGCAGTCTGACATACACGTCTGGTGTTAGCTGCACAACTTGGCTCGATTTGAATGAAATGGTAATAAAAAAAATAGTAGAAAGCATCTTCGTGGCGTAAGTTTCCGTGAATACCTGCAAACGAGGCTTTTTATAACTACTGAAGGTACAAGTACTCGTCACTCTAAATTGCTCGAAATTGCAAAAAAAGAAACTATTTCGGAAGCAATATGAAAAATAGAATCAATGTAGAGAAAAGGATTCGAGGCCTTTATAGAACCCGTTTGTATTTCAATGCTCCTAAAGAAGCTGGACCTTGAAAGTGAAAACTACTCGGTGTCCTCATCCGATTCGCTGGGGCACAGTACCCGTCTACAACCCAAGTTGTCATTATAGCCAACAAGTCAACATGAAGTTCTTTTCCATACTTACCTCGGAAGTACACCACCAAATCCTCCAGAAATTTTATATCTGGGTCTTGAGGAGGAGAAAAAGCACCCAAACTAAGAGGAAGTTAAGTCCCTATACATCGGGTAGGTTTACAGCCATTCCCATTTCTGATATGGGCCGTGCATTCAAACTCCCCTCAGGGAGTAGTGTAGTACCGCATGCGTATGTCACCTATACTATCACCTGCAGTGGCCAGCCGATGTACAAGTCGGTGCTAGTATCTAAAATTCTCCAATAGGACGAATGACTTCATCGAGCTGAACGACTATCTGTCCGGGTTGATCCCCAGGTCATGCGTATAAGAGTGCCCCACTTGCCACTGTACCACCGCTCATGTACTAACCGAAAATGATTTGCTATCAATTAAATGAATTAAAACTGAATATAGTGGATGGCTCATCTCTCNCCTATACTATCATCTGCAGTGGCCAGCCGATGTACAAGTCGGTGCTTTTATCCTCTCAGACAATTCTTGTATCTATTGAACGTCTCCAGTAGGAGGAATGACTTCATCGAGCTGAACGACTATCTGTCCGGGTTGATCCCCAGGTCATGCGTATAAGAGTGCCCCACTTGCCACTGTACCACCGCCCATGTACTAACCGAAAATAATTTGCTATCAACTAAATGAATTGAATACTGAATATAGTGGATGGCTCATCTCTCCACCATACGTCGTTTACGGTACCAAAGTTCAGTGGGATTTGTAGATTTTTGGTCGGGCAGGCAGGCATTGTCTCTATTCTGTAAGCGTCTAAAGAAGGCTTAATCCTACTGAAGTCAGAGATTAGCAACAGACGTCGTTAAGTGTCCAGCCAGGTTATCACTCCTAGTAGTCTCTTCCATATAGTCTGTCTTTTCTATTCAGTTAGTAGAATAGTAACATTAAAACACCGAGAACAGAATAGTTTTGATTCTGCCTCTGCTATCACTTATATTTTAGCTGGGATAGCAGATTTTTGGATTGAACTGAGTATTTAATTTGTTATATACATATTATATCTGTTTATTACATGTAACCTTAAGCTTTACACTTTTATACTATGTAGTTTATTGAGAAATTTATTGCCGGTAGTGGTGTAGTGCCAAGTGTCGCACTACTATTACACGCATTATAGATGGTTCGAATTCCGGCCTGATACCTAACCAGGCCGACCAAGCTTTACATCTCGGGATCGCTTATTTGATACCAGATCCGACTGGGAGGATAAAAGCAGTGAATTATACATAGGCTGGCCACTGTGCGTTATTGTATAGGCCAAATACACGTTCAAGCCGCCCCTATGATTCTAAATGGAAATCGAATGCAGGGCGCATACCACGAATAGGATTGACCAGTGCATATGGAATTTTTCTTTTAACATTTATGTTTTATTATCTATCTATGTACTTCAATTACTTTATTAATTAATTATTTATTTACTCGTTTTGTGTCTACTCATTCATAATATTTTATTTTCTTGGTTCCGGAGTGAAAGCCAAACGTTAGCCCTCATTAAGTCTCCCGCACTTGATGTGTGCTCTTGATGTAAGTAAAAGGGCAGGTGCTATAATTATCCCATGCCATTGGCTCTTATCAATAAATATCACCATTATCAGCCTTAATCACATTGTGTCACCCATCATCAATGCCATTAAATAATCGCCTCTTCCGGACTTTTCGCTGAATCATCACAGAGAACGATGTATTAAAATGCTGGACATGTGATTTTTTGCCATATTTTATCACCCTTTTTTAGCCGCTATTATTATCATTTTCAACTTATTTCGTACTTTTCTTACTTAGAATAGCAGCTATAATCACCTATGTAGGAATCTCAACGGTTTAGATGATATTGCTTCGTACCATTCTCAATCACCCTTTATCACCTACTATCACTTGCTATCACTCACACTTCAAATCTACTACATGTTAGGGAGGCTACTCTACCGCCATTATGAAGGCCAAGTTAAGCTGCTTTTTTCTTGCAGCGTCTTTCATCAGCACCTACTAAATTCGATCACTTACTACCACACATTATCACTAGACCTATAAGGTTCTTGGCACTGCTCCAAACTCTCTGTAACTCAACGCTTCGAAGGGATTCGTCATTCTTTGCAGTTCCCGATATTTTTCAAAGCCTCTAGTATACTTTAGGATCATCTAGCTCCACAGTATCTTTTTAAAGCACCGCAACTATACCTAAGGGGTGAGACACTAACAGCCTTCAGGTGACTTTCTTCCTGATCGGTTATGTCAGCTATTCCACCAACAATGAGTTTCGCGGTTTTTTTTCTCTGCGAGGATGTTTCCTGTAGAATTCCGTAGCATTCACACCCTTTCTTTTGGACAACATTGACTGTGAGATCATGTTAGTCGGTGATCTTCAACAGAGCCTATCAAATCTCTATGCTTCATTGAGGAATTCCGAGTCTCAGATTCAGAAATAGCGGCAAGTAGTCATAGTTGGCACTAAAGGTAATAGGGAGTTGTCAGATTTGGGTGAGAACTGGTGAGGAGTTAGTCATCTGGGCCGTATACTGTAGGCTGATCAGGTATGGANNNGGGGGGGGGGGGGAGGCTGGTGTAGTGGACAGAATGCTGTCTTCCGTTTGCTTGAATCAATGCGTTTCTTCTACTTCAATTCAGGTACGTACATAGCCCTTTTATTCTTTTTTTATCTTATTCAAAGTTTAAGCTCACCAATTTTGGAATGAATTTTGGATTTTTGGTTGCTAGGCTTTTCTAGTTTTTTTCGGCTACCTCAATTCTGTTATCCTTTATTCGAACCACGTATCCACATTGTTTTCTACTGCTTATTTTTGTTTACGTAAACAAGTCACTCAACAAATTATCACCAGCAACATTTTCACTTTTAAATCAACAAACAGTTACCGCTCTACTAACTCAACTAGATGACCTAGTTGGCACCTTTTAACCCTGCAGTTCTGACTGGAAAGTTACCTGTTTTTTTGCTTTTAGTCTTTTTGTAATGAGCTAGACTGTAGAAAGCTTTGTAATAACACCCTTATGAGGACATATAAAAATAAAGTAAATAAATAAAAAATGTGAGTTAAAAAACGTAAATAACTAGACAGTGAATGAGTAAGTGAGTAAATAACTCGTTTTCTTTCATGAGCTGAAGTACTCACCACAGAAAAAGCAAAAACCTCTCCCTCACTGAAGCGTGAAATAGAAAAGCCTAAATAGATCAGAGACTTTTCTTTGGAAAAAAGACGGTAAGCGTTTGGTTGATCCGAGGGATTCAATTGGGATGTAATGTATTTGGGTATTTGGATGAATTTGGGATGATCTGACCCCTTGTGTAACCCTTTTGTCCAATTCAACACGTTCAATCAGACCATGGACCAAAACATCGTTTTGTTTACGTTTTCGGTTTCAATTCACCCCATCATTGTTTATTTCGATGACCCTCGACAACAGTTCAAAAGGCATTCCGTGTGAGGCTATCCAAAAAAAGGAGGAAGACTTTTTAACTGTTTTCCTCCATTGATTCTTTTTCTCCATAGTCCTCTCAGTCCTCTCAGTTTCTCTTCAAAATTGGTAAAAGAATAGAAGAAATTGTAAAAAAAAAACGTAGAAACAAAAAAAAACCTCCAAAAAGAAACAAATCTTTAGTGTCGACCTCTGTTATTCAGCTGGTAGCCATGGCTTTCAACGAAAGTTCTGTTTTCCAACGATTCTTTGGAGGGTCACAAGAAGTCTATGGGAAAAAAGCGAAGGCTGAAGGATGGCTAAAATTCCATGGGAAAGTGCTAGCATTCAAAGTCGTCATCTGATGGCATAAATCCGGATGTTCTCAGTGAGTCAGTGGGCGGGTTGAGGCGAATTGATGAATCCCCAAAGAAAACCTTTTTTTTGTGAGGAGTGGGCTAGAAAAGCTTCTCACAAGCGACATCCCCTTTTTAAATTTTTCCCACCGTTCTCTGAGAAAATTGTAATTTGCCCATAACCTCTTACGATCGCTGCGCTCATGGATATCCATCATCGGCTATCACAAAATCTTGTTCTA